AATTAATTAGGGAATCAGGGAATTAATTATGGAATTAGGGAATCAGGGAATTAGGGAATTAATTAGGGAATTAATTAGGGAATCAGGGAATTCTGGGTTTGGAACTCAACCCCTCCGAGCGGGAGCCCAGCTCTGCCGGGGGAAATTAAAATAAAATTAACGTCAGGGAATTAATTAGGGAATTAATTAGGAAATTAATTAGGGAATTAGGGAATTAATTAGGGAATTAGGGAATTCTTGGAGTTGGAAGGGCTGGGAAGGAGAGCTGAGGGGCCCAGAAAATCAGGGAAGCAGGGAATTAATTAGGGAATTAGGGAATTAATTAGGGAATAAAGGAATTAGGGAATCAGGGAATTAATTAGGGAATTAGAGAATCATGGAATTAGGGAATTATGGAATTAAGGAATTAGGGAATCAGGGAATTAATTAGGGAATTAGGGAATTAGGGAATCAGGGAATTCTGGGTTTGGAACTCAACCCCTCCGAGCGGGAGCCCAGCTCTGCCGGGGAAATTAAAATAAAATTAACGTCAGGGAATTAATTAATTAGGGAATTAATTAATTTATTTATTAGGGAATTAATTAATTAGGGAATTAGGGAATTCTGGGTTTGGAACTCAACCCCTCGGAGCGGGAGTTCAGCTCTGCCGGGGAGATTAAAATAAAATTAACGTCAGGGAATTAATTAGGGAATTAATTAATTAGGGAATTAATTAGGGAATTAGAAAATCAGGGAATTCTGGGAATTAGGGAATCAGCGAATCAGAAAAGCAAGAAATTATGGAATCAAGGAATCAGGGAATTAGGGAATCAGAAAATCAGGGAATCAGAGAATCATGAAATTAGGAAATCAGGGAATCAGGGAATTAATTAGGGAATTAATTAGGGAATCAGGGAATCAGGGAATTAGGGAATTAATTAGGGAATTAATTAGGGAATCAGGGAATTCTGGGTTTGGAACTCAACCCCTCCGAGCGGGAGCCCAGCTCTGCCGGGGGAAATTACAATAAAATTAACGTCAGGGAATTAATTAGGGAATTAATTAATTAGGGAATTAATTAATTAGGGAATTAGGGAATCAGGGAATTAATTAGGGAATTAATCAGGGAATTAGGGAATCAGGGAATTCTGGGAGTTGGAAGGGTTGGGAAGGAGAGCTGAGGGGCCCAGAAAATCAGGGAATTAGGGAATTATTAGGGAATTAATTAGGGAATTAATTAGGGAAATAGGGAATTATGGAATCAGGGAATTAAGGAATTAGGGAATTAATTAGGGGATTAGGGAATTATGGAATTAGGGAATCAGGGAATTAATTAGGGAATTAACAAATTAGGGAATTGGGGAATCAGGGAATTATGGAATCAGGGAATCAGGGAATTAGGGAATTAGGGAATTAATTAGGGAATTAGGGAATTAATTAGGGAATCAAGGAATCAGGGAATCAGAGAATCAGGGAATTATGGAATCAGAAAATCAGGGAATCAGAAAATCAGGAAATTAAGAAATCAGGGAATTAGGGAATTAAGGAATTAATTAGGGAAGCAGGGAATTAATCAGGGAATTGGGGAATTAATTAGGGAATAAGGGAATTAGGGAATCAGAGAACTAGGGAATCAGGGAATCAAAGAATCAGGGAATTGGGGAATTAGGGAATTATGGAATCAGGGAATCCAAGAATCAGGAAATTAGGAAATGAGGGAATTAGGGAATTAAGGAATTAATTAGGGAATTAGGGAATTAATTAGAGAATTAGGGAATCAGAAAATCAGGGAATTAGGGAATTAATTAGGGAATTAGGGAATCAGGGAATTCTGGGAATTAGGGAATCAGGGAATCAGAAAAGCAGGAAATTATGGAATCAGGGAATTAGGGAATTAATCAGGGAATTAGGGAATTAATAAGGGAATTAGGGAATTAATTAGGGAATTAATTAGGGAATTAGGGAATCAGGGAATTAATTAGGGAATTAGAGAATCATAAAATCAGGGAATTAGGGAAGTAAAGAATTAGGGAATCATAAAATTAGGGAATTAATCAGGGAATTAGGCAATTAGGGAATTAGGGAATCAGGGAATCAGAAAAGCAGGAAATTATGGAATCAGGGAATCATAAAATCAGGGAATTAGGGAATCAGGGAATTAATTAGGGAATTGGGGAATCAGGGAATTAGGGAATTAATTAGGGAATTAGGGAATTAATTAGGGAATTAGGGAATCAGGGAATTCTGGGTTTCTATTTGTATTTGTATTTGTATTTGTATTTGTATTTGTATTTATATATTAATTTTATTTATATTTATATATCAATAATAATATTATATTTATATTTATATTTATATTTATATTTATATTTATATTTACATTTATATTTATATTTATATTTACATTTACATTTACATTTAGATTAGATTTGTATTTAGATTTTTACTTTTATTTATATATTTATATTTATATTTACATTTACATTTATTTTTATTTTTATTTTTATTTTTATTTTTATTTTTATTTTTATTTTTATTTCTATTTTTATTTTTATTTTTATTTTTTTTTCCCGAAGAAGCCAAAAAACTCCCGGAATTTGAGGTCTGGGATTGAATTTTTGTTTCGAGTCGCATTTCGAAGGTTCCAACATGTGGGAATTTGGGGTTTTTCCGGGAACTCACGGGGTACGTAGGGCGGGAAGTTGAGCTGCTGATCCCGGCAGGAATCGACGGAGCCGTGGACGAAACTGGAGGGTTCGTTCATGTCCTGAAAAAATCAAAAAAAATTGGGTAAAAAAACACCCAAAATTCTCGTTATTTCCGTAAATTTCCAACGGGTCGATAAATCCAGGCGTTTGGGTCGTTTAATTTCTCGTTAGGGAATTGAATAAATGGAGAAATCTGTATTTTTATAGAATATAATATAATATAATATAATATAATATAATATAATAAATTATAATATAATATAATATAATGAAAATAAAATAATTTGTAACATAAATATGATACATATTAAAATATAATAAAATAAATATAATATAATAAAATATAATAAATTAAATATTAAATAATATATTATATATAAAAATAGAATAGAATAGAATAAATATCAAACTAAAACAAAAATACTATTAATATACAAGTCATATTTAGTAATACTAATTATTTATTACTTGTTTATGATGATTATTATATATTATATATTACATATTATATATTACATATTATATATTATATATTATATATTATATATTATATATTATATATTATATATTATATATTATATATTATATATTGTATATTATATATTATATATTATATATTATATAGTAGATTAGTAGATAGTAGATAGTAGATAGTAGATAGTAGTAGATAAATATTATTATAAATATATATATAAATAATATTATATATTATATAGTAGATTAGTAGATAGTAGATAGTAGATAGTAGTAGATAAATATTATTAGAATATTATTACATATTATTATATACAAACAATTAATAATTAATAATTATTAATTAATACTTAATGTTTATCACATATTATAATATACAAATAATTAATAATTAATAATTAATAATTAATAATTCATAGTTGATAATTAATAATGAATGTTTATTACATATTATTATATACAAATAATTAATAATTAATAATTAATAATTAATAATGTTTATTACATATTATTATATACAAATAATTAATAATTAATAATTAATAATTAATAATTAATAATTAATAATTAATAGTTAATGTTTATTACTTATTAATTCTTAATTATCAATTGTTAAATATTATTTATTATTTTTAAATATTGATTCTTCTGGATTCTTAATTATTATTCCTTATTATTAATGATGAACGATCACTAATAATTTTTCCGGTTGACTCACGATCCAGAGGCCGTCGAAGCGGATGCTCTGGGAGGCGTTGCGGGGGTTGTTGTAAACCTCGGCGATTTCCCGCGCCCACCACTCCCGCGTGGAGTTCCGGAAGAAATCCGGCATCGCCGCGAACGCCCGGAAAAGCTGCCGGGAAAGAAAAAATCAGGGGGTTAATTTAATTTTTTCCTCTATTTTTGTAATTGAATTTTTTAATTTAGGTTTCGAATTTAATTTTTAATTGAATTTTTAGTGGAATGTCTATTCTATTTTTTCATTCAGTTTTTAATTTAAATTTTTCATTTAATTTTGTCATTTAATTTTTTAATTTAAGTTTTTAATTTAAGTTCTTAATTTAATTGTGTAATTTAATTTTTTAATTTTATTTTTTAATTTAAGTTCATAATTTAATTTTGTAATTTAATTTTTTAATTTAATTTTTTAATTTAAGTTCTTAATTTAATTTTTTAATTTAAGTTTTTAATTGAATTTTTAATTGAATTTTAATTGATTTTTTAATTATAATTTTTTAATTTAATTTTTCATTTAATTTTTTCATTTCATTTTTGATTTTAAGTTTTTAATTTAAGTTTTTAATTTAAGTTTTTCATTTAATTTTTTCATTTAATTTTTTCATTTAATTTTTTAATTTAATTTTTTAATTCAAGTTCTTAATTTAATTTTTTAATTTAAGTTTTTAATTGAATTTTTAATTGACTTTTAATTGATTTTTTTATTATAATTTTTTAATTTAATTTTTCATTTAATTTTTTCATTTAATTTTTGAATGCAATTTTTTCATTTAATTTTTTAACTTCATTTTTTCATTTATTTTTTAATTTCATTTATTAATTTAAGTTTTTAATTTAATTTTTAATTGAATTTTTAATTCAATTTTTATTATATTTTTAATTTGATTTTACATTTAATTTTTCATTTAATTTTTTAATTTAAACTTTTAATTTAGGTTTTTAATTTAAGTCTTTAATTTAATTTTTCATTTAATTTTTTAATTTAAGTTTCTAATTTAATTTTTAATTGAATTTTTTACTATAATTTTTAATTTAATTTTTCAATTAATTTTTTCATTTAATTTTTCACTTAATTTTTTCATTTAACTTTTTTATTTAAGTTTTTAATTTAATTTTTTCATTTAATTTTTTAATTAAAGTTTTTTATTTCATTTTTACATTTAATTTTTTCATTTAAGTTTTTAATTGAATTTTTAATTGAATTTTTATTTGGATTTTTATTATATTTCTTTAATTTAAGTTTTTCATTTAATTTTTTATTTTAAGTTTTTAATTTAAGTTTTTGATTTCAATTTTTCATTTAATTTTTTTAATTTAAGTTTGTCATTTATTTTTTAATTCAATTTTAATTTAATTTTTGAATTTAATTTTTTCATTTAATTTTTGAATTTAATTTTTGAATTTATTTTTTACCTTTTTTAATTTAATTTTTTATTTTAATTTTTCAATTTCATTTTTAATTCCATTTTTTAATTTAATTTTTTCAATTATTTTTTGCATTTAATTTTTTCATTTCATTTTTTAATTTCATTTTTTCATTTAATTTTTTCATTTAATTTTTTAGTTTTAGTTTTTAATTTAATTTTTTCATTTCATTTTTTAATTTAATTTTTTTAATTTAGTTCTTCATTTAATTTTTAATTTCCTTTTTTAATTTAATTTTTAATTTAATTTTTAATTTAATTTTTTAATTTTTAAATTTAATTTTTTAATTTAATTTTTTAATTTAATGTTTAATTTAATTTTTTAGTTTTTAAATTTATTTTTTTAATTTAATTTTTTAATTTAATTTTTTAATTTCCTTTTTTCATTTCCTTTTTTCAATTAATTTTTTTAAAATTATTAAATTATTAAATAATTATTTGTAGTAATTTAATAAATTATATTATATTATATTTTATATATTATATTATATTATATTAAGCAATTATTTTTATTAAAATACATTTTAATAAATATTTCTTGAATTAATTTCATTTCAATTCCTTTTCAAATAAAAAAAAAATTAAATTTCAAGGTTTTTTTAACAAGAATTTTAATTTTCTTTTCGATTTCAGATTTCCACCATTTTGATCCAAAACTGATTTTTTTTATTTTCTTTTTTATTTTGTTTTTTTTTTTTTTGTCCCAAATTTGGGGAATTTCCTTCTTTTTTTTACCCCCAAATATCAATTTTTTACCTGCACTTGGGTGTCCCAATCCAGAGATTCATCGACCTCCACGTCGGGCAAATCCGGCCAGACCTGGAAAAGGGGAAAAGAGGGAAAAATAATCCCAAAAATTCCAAAAAATTCCAATAATTCCCAAAATTCCAATAATTATAAAGGTGAATAAACCAAGAAAAATAAAACTTTCAAGTCTGAAAATTAATTTGAAGTCTTAAAACCTAAAGATGTAATTTCAAATTAAATTTAATTTCTAATTAAAATCAAATTTTTAGGATTTAATTTCAAATTAAATTTAATTTCTAATTAAAATCAAATTTTTAGGATTTAATTTCAAACTATATTTAATTTCAATTTCAAATTAAATTTAATTTCAAATTCAAATTAAACCTGTAGGACCTTATTTCAAATTAAATTTAATTTCACATTCAAATTAAATCTTTAGGATTTAATTTCAAATTAAATTTTATTTCAAATAAAAATTAGATCTTTAAGATTTAATTTCAAATTTAAATTGAATTTCAATTTCAAAATAAATCTTTAAGATTTAATCTCAACTTAAATTTAATTTCAAATTCAAATTAAATCTTTAGGATTCAATTTCAAAGTTAATTTAATTTTAAAATTGAAATTAAATCTTTATTATTTAATTTAAAATTAAATTCAATTTTGAAATTAAAATTAAATCTTTACAATTTAATTTCAAAATAAATTTAATTTCAAATTAAAATTTAAACCTTTAATTTAAAATTTAATTTCGTTTTTTATCCGATTTCATTTTATGTTTTTCTTTTGCCTTTATTTTTTTGGTCCTTTTTTTCCTAATAATTAATAATAATTAATAATAATTATTATTATTAATAATGATAAATTTTGAAATAACAACAATTTTAAAAATCTTCCTTCCATTTTCATTTTTAAATTCCATTTCAAAATTTTAAATTTCATTCCAAATTTCCCTCCCGTTTTTAACCTTTAACCCCCTTGAAAATTCAAATTTCACTTCCGATTTCCCCCTTTTTTTTCCTTATTAAACCTCAATTTTTTTTCCTCTTTTTTTTCCCTCTTTTTTTTTAAAAAAAAATCAAATTTTGGGGGAAAAAAATTTGGGAATTTTGGGAGCACCTTGGCGTAAATGATGTCGTCGCTGTCGGGATATTTGATGAACACGTCCTGCTCCTTCCCCCTCTCGAAGGGTAAATAATCAGTCTCGTTGGCGGAGATGGCCGGGTCCTAAAAAATAATTCCAAATTCAAATCTTTAATTCGAATTATTTCGGGAATTATTTAATTTCAAAACATTAATTTTTAAATATGAAATATTAAGGCTTTAATTAGATTAATTTCTTAATAATTTATTAATAATAATAACCTGATATTAACGCTCGATTCCGAAATATTAATTTGGAATTAATTAAAAAAAAAAGGAGTTATTAAAATAGTTATTACTTATTTATTTAATTATTTAATTAAAATTATTTTAAAAAAATTTATTTTAAAAAAGACATGGATTTTTAATATGAAATATTTACACTTTAAGATTAATTCATTATTAATGTATTATTAATATTAATCTAATTTTAACACTCGAATAGAAAATATTAATTAAATATAGGGAGTTATTAAAATAATTATTACTTATTTCATTAATTATTTAATTAAAATTATTTTTAAAAAATTTAATTTAAAAAAAAAACCATGGATTTTTTATATGAAATAATAACACTTTTAGATTAAAAGATTATTAATTTAATATTAATATAATCTGATATTAACACTTGAATCCAAAATATTAATTTGGAATTAAGAAAATATAAGGAGTTATTAAAATAATTATTACTTATTTCATTAATTATTTAATTAAAATTATTTTTAAAAAATTTTAAAAAAATGGATTGTAAATATGAAATATTTACACTTTAAGATTAATTGATTATTAATTTAATAATAATATTAATCCAATATTAACACTCCAATCCAAAATATTTATTTGGAATTATTAAAATATAACGAGTTATTAAAAGAATTATTACTTATTTCAATAATTATTTAATTTAAATTATTTTTTAAAAAATTAATCTTAAAAAACCCCCATGGATTTTTAATATGAAATATTAACACTTTAAGATTAATTGATTATTAATTTAATATTCATATTAATCTGATATTAACAATGAAATTAATTGAACTAATGCAATTTAAAGTGAAGGTAAAATCAAAATTTGAATTAAAATTTTTTTGATTTGAATTAAAATTTTAATTTAAATTAAACTTAATTTTTAATTTTAATTTTAATTTAGTTTAAATTAAATTTTATTGAATTAAATTAAATTAAATTTTATTTTATTTTATTTTATTTATTTTTATTTAATTTTAATTTTAATTTTAATTTTAATTTTAATTAAATTCAATTTGGATTTTTTTATTTGAATTAAAATTTTGATTATTTGGAGTTTCATCGAATTTAATTTTTAATTTTTTTTTTCTTTTTTGGCCCGAAATTCCCAACTTACCAGGATGATGATGAACCTCATCCCGTCCTGATGGATTCGATCGATGAGCGCCGGCAATCCCTGGAATTTGGGGCTGAGGGTGAAATCCAATTGACGCACCATGTAGTCGATGTCGGAATATTGGACGTCCTGGAAATTTGGGGAAAAAAAAAAAAAAAAGGGGGAAAAGGGGGAAAATTTGGGGGAAAAAGGGGAAAAAATAATGGGAAAATTGAATTAAAATTAAAAAAGGGAGGGGGAAAAGGAGAAGGAAAATAAATGTGTGGGAGTGTAAATATAAATGTAAATGTAAATGTAAATATGAATATGAATATAAATGTAAATGTAAATGTAAATGCAAATATAAATATAAATATAAGTATAAAGTGTAAATATAAATATAAATATATAAATAAAAATAAAAATCTAAATGAAAATATGATTTAAATCTGAATCTAAATGTAAATATAAATTTAAATAGAATATATAAATATAAATATAAATATAAATATAAAACTATAAAAATAATATATATAAAATATAAAAAATATAAAATGTAAAATATGAATGTATAAAATATAAAAATAATATATAAAATATAAAAAATAATATATAATATATAATATATAATATATAATATATAATATATAATATATAATATATAATATATAATATATAATATATAATATATAATATATAATATAATATATAATACGATATAAAATACAAAATAAAAATATAATGATATAGTATATAATATATATAAAATACTATACATTGCAATAATATAATATCTTATTTTTATATTATTTTCTATATAATATTATAAATAATATGCTATATATCTTAATATAATAGTTTTTGAATATACTATATTTTCTATATATTGTATATAGTAGATAACATCTATATTCTATTCTATTCTATTCTATTCTATATAAATATAAATCTAACTATAGATATAAATATAAAATGAATATATAAATGTAAATCTAACTATAAATCTAACTATAAATATAAATATAAATATAAATATAAATAATTATAAATATATGTATAATAATAGATAATTATAAATATATATATAATAATATATAATTATAAATATATATATAATAATATATAACTATAAATCTAAATCTAAATCTAAATCTAAATCTAAATTAAAATATAATGATATACTATATCATATATATAAAATACTATACATTATATTAATACAATATCTTTTTTATAATAATTTATAATATTTACTATATAATATTATAAATAATATGCTACATAATATCTTAATATAATAGTTTTATAATATACTATATTTACTATATATTGTATATAGTAGATAACCTATATATTATATATATTATATATTATATAATATTATATATATATATGATATATATATATATAATATTAGAATATTGTATAATATTATATATAATATATATATAATATATAATATTATATACATTATATATATTTATATTATATATATTATATATATTTTTTATATTATATATATATTATATATACTATATTGTATATTATATGTATATATTATATATATTATATAAATATAAAATAAATCTAAATATTTACATAAATTTTTTAAAATATTAACAAATATAAATTTTTATTTTTATATATTTTTTCTAATTTTTTTAAATAAATATATATATTTTTTAATATATTTCATTTTTCTTCTTCCCTTTCCAAAATCCCGGGAAAAACTCAACCCCCGACCCCCCTCCCAGCCCGAATTTTCCCCCCAAAAAAATAAAGTTGTAAGTGGAATTTACCAGCGGGATCTGGGCCCGGGTCATGTCCTGCACCAGTTGGGCGATTTCGGCGTCGTTCTCGTAGCCGTAACGGCAGAGTTGGAAGCCCAAACCCCAGTAGGGGGGCATGACGGGCCTTCCCACCAGCTGGGAGGGGGAAATTTGGGGGAAAAATTAGGAAAATTTGGGGAAAAAAAATCAGCATCGAATGGGAAAATAAAACCCCAAAATAATAAAAAATCCGAATAAAATCCCAAAATAGGAAAAAAAATTAAAATGAAACCCCAAAATAATTAAAAATCCAAACAAAACCCCCCCAAAAAAACAAAAATAAATTCCCAAAATAATTAAAAATCTAAATAAAACCCCAAAATAAAAAAAAGAAACCAAAATAAAAAAAAATCCAAAATAAATCCCCTCAAAAATAAAAAAATAAAATAAAACTCCAAAATAATAAAAATCCCAAATAAAACCCCAAAATAAAAAAAAAGTAAATAAAACCCCAAAATAAAAAAAATCCAAATAACCCCCCCAAAATCCCGACTTTTTCCCCTCACCTGCGTGTACTCCTTCACCACCTCCTCCGGCGTCGGCCCCAGCACCAGGTAAAAATCCAGGATCCCCCCCGTGGTGCGGTAGGTGAGGGCGGGGGTGGGTTGAAAAGTGACGTCTGCGCCAAAAATCGACCGTCAGGACCCCCCCCATGTAAAAATTTAAGGTGAAAACGGCGGATTTTGGTGAAAATTGGGGAATTTGGAGGGTTTTTCGTACCCATGGCGTTGCTGTTGAGCAGGAGGACCCCGTGGGCGTTGGCGTCGTCTTCCAGGCAGAGGTAGAAGGGGTGGAAGCCGTAGGAGTTGAGTTTGTACTGCGGGAAAGGGGGAAGAAAAATTTCGGGAATTCCGGCGGGATGAGGAGGGAGAATCATCCGGGGGAGGTTGGGGGGTTAAAGGTCGGGGGTTGATTGATGTCGATTG